GGTGCTGTTTCAAGGATGCCGCCCTCTGCTCTAATCCCCACTCTGCCTCTGGTGAGTCTGCCCCAATCCTGGAGCCCGCTGATGGGCTCTGGACACTGTGAACTAAGCCCTGGGATGCCCTGGTCTGGAGTTTTCTTCTCAAGCTCCAGCTGTGCCCATCTTCTCTGGAAGCCACCTCAGATGGTGTTGGGGTGCCAGCGTGCCAATATTCCATGTGGCTGAGCCTGGGGCAAAGACACAGACAGGCCTGGGGAGTGGCACACTTGTCTTCCTTGCATAGCAGGTCTTGGGTTGGACAGCAGGAGGCACTGGGTTGGTCCTGCTTTCCTAGAGCAGGGACAAAAATGGAAAAGCTGCCATAGCCCTCCATCAACCCCACATCAAAGAGGTCCCGGGGTCACCATCGCCTGTCAGTGGGATTCAGAGGAAATGGCCTGGCACTGAGAGGCTGCTGGTCGTCCATTAGTCTGGGCTTCTCTGTACTTCCAGTGGGAGCCAGTGACAATCTGTACATCCTTGTCCTCTGGCCCTGGGCTCTTACCTGCACCTAGGTGACTCTTTACCTCCATGAGGTCTCCCAGGCATTAAAACACAATGAAGGAGGAAAAGAGGAAGAAAATATAGAATTGCAGCAGCCTGTAAGTTATCAGATAACACGACCTATTTAACATCAATTAGTGTTTCTAACAACCAACTACTGTGCCATTAACTTGCAAGAGCAATCTTGGGGGAGTGCCAGTGCATGCCAGCAGACGAGCGTGGGTAGCCAGTTGGTGCTGGAGTGCAGAGCGGATTCAGATTGCAGTCTGATTGCAAATTGGCATCGTCCAGGGACTGGCGGGCAGGAGAGGGTACCGAGGAGCAAGGCTTTTCACTAAGCAGATATTTATAGCAGGGATCTTGGAATAAATGAGCCACAGAGAGGGCAGGAGAGGTAAGGCTGCTGGAGGAGGGCCAAGCCTTGGGTGCCGGATGCTGCCAAGCTGAAATCTCAGAGGCTTGGTCCATTCCGGGATCCCAGCCACATCGTGGAAGGGAAGATGGGGGAAGCCCCTGGGGTGTGAGTTAGGCTCAGTTTCACCTGTCAGTCTTTCAGTCCTGAATGTAGACCTTGAATCACTTGTCTATTTTCTCTGGCCTTCATTTCCCTTCATGTTAGAACGGTATGATGTTCTGGCAGACGGTAGCACCAGGACTGTCCTGTCTGTGTTTCTGTGTTCACTGACTGCAGTAGCTACCCTTTGAACATTCTGTAATGGGTCCATCTTCTGGTGTCCAGGTGCTCGTGTAGGATAGGAATGACTGAGATATTGCAGGAGTGATGCTGGTAACAGTTGGCACGGGCTCATAGAAGACTGTGTTTGACCTTGACCATTCTTGGGTTGACTGCTCTGGGGAAAGTCAGCGGCCCTTCTGTGGAGACAATCGAGCAGGCCTGTGAACAGGTCTTGGGAGCAACTGAGACCTCCTGCCACCAGTCAGCATCAGCCCGCCAAGCAGGGGAGTGGTTCACCTGGGAAGCCGGACCTCCAGCTTCTATTGTGCCTTCAGGTGGCAGCAGCCCTGACTGACATACTGACTGCTACCTCCTGGGAGAAGCTGGAACCACTCAGCCCAGCCACCGCTGAGTTTCTGCTCCACACAGATTGTGTGAGGGCAAAAAGGGTTTCTGTTTTAAGGTACTAAGTCTTGGGGCTATCATTCATGCACCTGTGGATAACTAATCTCCAACACTATCAACTCCTGACACATGGTAGGTGTCTAATGAATAGCTATTTAGGAATGAATGCACAGTACCGCTTCCTAAAGCCATTTTTAGGGGCAAATGAGATAATCTGTTGGAGTCCACGGTATGGTGCCTGACACAGAGAAAGAGCTTAACAAATAACTCTCCCTGCCATTATCAGTGTCTTCATCGACACCAGCATTCCTAGTTTGGGCTGCTTGAGGTTTACAGGTGGGCAGAATCTTTAGTGTGGGATGCTCAGAGGATTCAATCCAAATGTGGGGAGGAGAATAAAGGGATAAGCATAAAATGCGAATGGAGGGCAGATGGAGAGAAAATAAGAAAGACTGATGGAGGAGAGAGGGATCTAAAACATGAGAAGGCATTTGCACATGGCCGTCCTGTGAGGAGCCCGGACGTGCGGCAAGTTGAGCCGAGTTCGGTAGGAGGAGGTCTCGACACCGTGTGTAGGAGGCACTCGGGTCCCCAGACTCCGCCATACTGGAAGCCACAAGGAGGATGCATTTCTAGAGAGATGGTGTCAGGCACGCTACTGAGTGTACATGGCTAGATCTGGCTCTGCTTCACTCATTCCCATGTGATACTGGTCGTTAAAGATTTTACTTACTCTGCCCAGAAATGAGAGTTGAGTAGAGATTTTCTGTTCTCACTTCTCTCTGGCATCTCACTTCTCTCTGACCTCGCTGGTTCTGTACATTTAGAATTTATTGAGTCAGTAAGTGGCTGCTAAATGTCTATTCTGGGCTGGAGCTTGGGAATTTGAAGGTGGCTGGGATACCCATAGGCAACACGCAGGAGGCCTGGAGTTCTTAGGGACTGGTTTTCAGGTCTCCTGGATGTCCCCAGTGGTGGCCCTCAGGTCGTGCGGAGGTTTAGAGTCAGAGAAAATCTCCCCGAGGAGGAAACGTGGAATCTGAGACCTTCCCTGGAATTTAGAGACTACTCTAAGCACCAAGACAGGCTCTCAGTATGGTCTAGGACAAGAGAAAATTGTGTCATAGCTGGCAACAGCTTGAATGAAGTACCTGCATCGTGGAAATTCAAAACCAGAGTGAGTGGATAGCTCAGGGTCTGGATTATTTCAGATGCAAAGGACACAACTTCCTCAAGTTGACCTGGGGCCCAAAGGGGATTTACGGACACGTAGCTTGGAGTCCAGAAGTCATTAGCCTCCAAAGCTGAAGGACTCAAGAGACCGCACAAGCCCCCCCACCCCCACCGTGTGTGTGTGTGTGTGTGTGTGTGTGTGTGTGTGTGTGTGTCCCTTTGTCCCCTTCTCTCAGTCTTAAACTCTAGCTGTGGCTTCTCTCCGTGCCTGCCCTATACTGTCTATCGGAGGATGGGCATTCTGCCCCTCTGAGTGCCTGAAGCTGGAAAGAGAGAGTGGTTTCTAGCAACGCCAGGCCTCCCACATCTCAGCCTGCTGGGCCACATGCATCCAAAACCCCGGGGAAGGACTCCCATTCGCCCGGCTGGAGTCATCCTCTGGGAAGAGTAACCCTAAAGAAAGTAGCCACATTTTTTCCTCCCAGAATAGTAGGCAAAGGGATGGCTGAGCTGGCTAAACAACCCCACCTACTCTGCATGAAACCACAGACTTGAATACGCAACTCTGTTAATGATACCCGGTGGGCCAGGTAACCTGGTGACTTTGCCATTCTCCTAAAAAGTCCCCAACTCCTGTCTTTCAGCTGGGTTAGGGTGCCACTGAATTGGAAGGAGGTGTTCATCTTCTGCTTAAGACTGGTAGATGGGCAACAGGTTCGCAGGTTCGAATCAAACCGTAGTGTGTGCACCATTTACCTGGGCATGTGGTGAGGACGCTGACCCTCGCTCAACACATCAGAAGTGAGGGCCGAGAACCCGCACTTCTAGCAGTACTGATACCTGCTGCCCACGGACCCTGCTTTGTGAAGCACAACTTGTTATCAATCTACCACTTGGCCCGGGAAGGAGGAATCGAAGGAGCTGTGTTTTAACAGGATCAAGTTAGGATACAATCTCAGACTTGATGAAAAATTTAGAGCTCACCTTTTCCCTCTAGAAGCTGCTGCCTACTTTCTGATGGGCAGCAGACACTTTCTCTGTCTGTGTTGCATCCTCCCCTGGACACAGGCTCCTCCGTGGAGCCTGGACACTTCTGAGAGCAGGGTGTAAGGCAACAGCCATCGCGGGCTCCCAGGAAAGAGTTAAACCCGCTGGGACACAGAGACGGGCAGTTCCAGGCAGACACGGAAGGCCTGACCTGGCTCCAAGGGTTAATACTATTTTGTTTTGCAGGACTATTTGTTATATTGGGTTAGAGCAGGCAGAAGGTCGTGGGGGTCAGCGGCCCCCTCGCGGCCCCTCCCTCCCCTTCCGCGTCTCCCCCACGAGCAGCCTTGCTGCCTCCTCTAATCCTATGACCCCAGACACCGAGTTTTTCCTTGGGATCCTCCTGCCAGCGCCCTCAGACTCTGCAGCCGACGCCAGCCGTCTCTGGCCCAGCCCTCAGAGGCAGGCGTACGAGCTAAAAGGCACTTTGTACGCGGGGAAGCCGTCCTCTGCAATTTGTGCTGCGGTTTCTCTGGACTGCAGCAGGTCACGAAAAGGGCCCTTCATCCTCTTCTGCCTTTTCTTGCCTTCATTTCTTCCACTGTTTCGTTTCCTCCCTTTTCCTTCTTCTAGTCCCCATCTTTCGTTTCTTTATCTCCCTTATTCGATCATGTGACTATATTCTTTGCTTTCCTCTTTCTTCTCCTCTTTTTTCCTTTTTTGTCGTTGTTAAGGAAATTTTAAATTGGTAGCAACAGGACAGATCTACAAGGCAGCTTGAGCAGGGTTCAAATCCCAGTGCTGCCCCGGGACTACAGGGCATAGATTCTGGGACAGTTCTTTAGCTCTCTGAGCCTCGGATTCCTTTTCAGAAAAAAAAAAAAAAAAAAAAAAAATAA